AAAACTCGAGAATCGGGACTACATCGAACTAAAACGCTTCTTCCCAGCAAAGAAACAATCAGTAGAGTAGAAAGTGACCAAGCAAAAACCCTAATTAATAATCAGGTTTAAAAAATGAGCTAAGGACTTGAGAATCGGCATTTTTCCAAAGACATACAAATGGCCAATAGGTATATGAAAAGATGCCCAATGTCACCAATCATTGGGGAAATGCAACTCAAAGCCATGAGATACCACCTCACACTCATTACAATAGCATATATATTTATGACACCAGTCGTTGGCAAGTATGTGGAGTGATAAGAACTCCTGTGCTTGGTTAGTAGGAATTAGGAATGCAAAATGGTACAGCTGCTCTGAAAAACAGTAGAGAGGTTCCTCAAACAATTAAAAATAGAACTACCATATGATCCAGCAATCCCGTTTCTGTGTATTTATCCAGAAGAATTGAAATCAAGATCTTGAAGAGGTATTAGCACTCCCATGTTCATTGTGGTATTATTCACAGGAGCCAAGATGTGGAAACAACCTAAATGTCCATTGACAAATGAATGCATTAAAAATGCAATATACACATAACATGGAATACTATTCGACTTTTCAAAAGAAGGCCATTACGCAACTTGTGACAACATGGATGCACTTGGAACACATTAGGCTAAGTGAAATAAGCCAGTCACAGAAGGACATATACTGCATGTTTCCACTTCAATGAATACCTACAACAGCCAAACTCACAGAAGCAAAGAACAGAATGGTGGTTGCCAGGGGTTTAGGCAGAGGGGGAAGTGGGTACGAAATTTCAATTATGCAAGATTTGTAAGTTCTAGAGATCTGTACAATGGGTGCCAAGAGAACAATATTGTTTTGTACACTTAAAAATCTATCAAGAGGGTAGAGCTCATATTAAGTGTTCTTACCACAATGAAAATGTAGAAACATTAAAAAAAATTAAAAAGAGCTCATGAGACAAATACGAGGTGTAAACGGGAGGGCAAGGTGACTCAGGTGGCTTTGTGTTATCAATGACATTCTTTCGTCATTTTGAAAAGCATCTTGGCTATAACCATCAGCTCTCAAACAATAAAAGGACTCATTGAAAATTACTCTTCTCCATCCCTCAAAGAAGGATCTCTGATTGGCAAAAGTTATTTATAGCAAAGACGGAATCAATTCCGCAAAGATTGATTTGGCTTCCGCCATATAGCAGGTGCCGGGCTCTGGACTGAGAATAAATACGAGAGGAGGGGCTGCTCGGCTCGCAAGGCAGCGAAGCAGGGCAGTCAGGAGCAGGGACCCCGGTGCTCAGAACTGGATTCCAACATCGCCTCTGTCGCCTGCTGGCTGTGTGGCCCTAAGTAAACCACCTGACCTCTCTGTTCTCTGAAAAATGAGGAGGACAATCTTCAGGGTGTTGTCGGAGTTATAAGACAAAGGAATGCACAAAGTGCTTTGGACGATGCCGTACACTGCACTGTTATCGTCACTAAATACTACTTATAAGGTGATGGGAAAAGGATGGAGCTGAAGGATGACATGCACTGCCTCGCTCCAGTGCTTGGCTGAGAACAGGAGTGTCCCAGAAGAGATGACTTGAGCTGAGCCTGGGAGGTGGTGTTAGGGCCAGGAAGAGACAGACTCCAAGGATGGAGTCTAAGGTTTCAAGCTTGAATAACCGAGAGAATGGTGAACTCAGCTAGGTCAGGTGTAGAAGGAAATGCCTAGGGGGCTTGTTCTAGGTTATGGTGGCTCTCAGATCACTGGGTGTCCTCCGGTCTGAAGGGGCGTAGGGGCTAAGCACACGCTCATTCTGAAAGGAGCCTGGGGGCTGAGGGAGCCCCAAGTCCAGTGAAGGTGGCCTCTGTGAGCCCGTGGGCCCTGAGCCTGAGGCCGGGCTGTGAGGACTTTGTATCTTCCTCAGGTTTGTTCTAAATGAGACTCTTCACACCAAGATGGCCTGTAGGCTTGTGTCTGATGCAGGGGCATCAAGGCAAGAGGAGCAGGGGCAGCCACAGTGGGGATGTGCGGGAGGAGAGGATGAAGTGGGCGGCTCGTGACTGAGAAAAGGCGTCGGGTATGTTCCGGGGCTGCTGCCCACTCGAGGACCTGGTCTGAGCAGGGTGTCTGTGGGGCCTGATGTGGATGCATCCAATAAGCAGCTGGGACTGTGAGCCTGGGGGTGGTTCTAAGTTAGGAGGACCCCAGGGCAGTGGGCTCTGTAGATTTGGGGCCAGCCACCTGCATGGCCGCAGGGAAAAAGCCTAAACTTTCCTGCCATGGATGGAGGCAGCAGCAGTGCCTTTGGCTTCTAGAAACTTCTTAGAGCTGGCTCAACCTGCTTGGGGTCAGGCTTGGGTATAAGTGTGCGTGAGTGATAGGCAACCGAGGCGGAAAGTGACTCTAAGAATTCAGGCATCTGTCTCCATGGAGCTGGAAAAGGCACAGGCTCGCCGAAGGGACTGGTAAGATCCCAGGGCAGCCCTTTATGTACTGATGTTTTCTTAAGGTCTTGTTTTAGGGAAGTCGAGTTCTCTATTGGAAAGAGCCCTGGATCAGGGGTTCAGGAGCTCTGGGCCAGCTCCCGCATGGACCAACTATGTGTCCCCAGACAGGGCATTCAGCCCCCGTGCCCCTTTAAGATTGGGTGTGTGCCCACGCCATAAGTCAGACTGGGGTCACCCAGCTCTCTGAGAGCCACCCTGTCCTAGAACGAGTCCCCTGGGCACTTTCTTTCACAATCCGATGTAGTTGCCCTAGTGTACTTAGCACCCTCTCCATGCCACATCTTCCCCCCTAAGCCCTTGTAGATTAAGCAGCATGATCCCCCTGTACAAATTAGGAACTGAGGCTCAGAACAGGTGAACTCTCCCCCAAGATGGCACAGCTAAAAATTGGCAGAGGCAGGATTTGAACCAGGGCTGATGCTCTTGAACCATCTCACTATGGGGCCTTGGAACATGGGACTCTGGTTTCCTCTTTTACAAAAGGGTGGAAGCCATAGATAATTTAATGCATCAAACAAGTGGGTATTAGGGGATGTCCCTTGTTTCTTGTCTGTGCAGACCTTCTGGCACTTTCCAGATCTCACATCAGAAAGTCTGTGCTACCTCAGGTGGCATGAGAAGCGTCTCAACAGCCAGAGCCAGTGCTCAGCCCCACTTCCTGCTCAGGGGCAGGTGACGGCGACACCAGGTGATGCCCAGACGACAAAGAGGGAATGTGTTGGGGCAATCTAGGTCACTGCCCTGGAACAGGGCTGCTCTCTGCCTTGAGGTGGGTTGTGAGGGGCACAGGACAACTCAGGCAGGGATGGGAGGGTCCCGAGAAGCCATCCGGGCCAGCCTCTTGCCTCCGAGAGGGCTGCCTTCAAATCATCCCCAAAGGGATGCAAAAAGCAAAGCTACGGCCTCTCTTGGTGCTGCATTCTGAGCTTAAGACACTTTGACATTGAAATAAAGTTGGGGGAGACCATTGTCTGAATCTGAGAAACAAGTCTGAATTCAAGTGCATTTGCTTGCTTGGCTGTGGAGAGAGGCAGAGGCTCCCAGGTTTCTAAAGCGCCCAGGAGAGGCTGTGTGCTCTGCTTTCCTGCGCATCCATAGTCTGGAATGAGCATACTGTTTCCTATGAATGGATGATCCAGAAACATTTATAAATACCTCCTCTTAAATTGCTCTATTATCTTTCGAAAACACAAAAATATCTCTTAAGCCCACACCTCCCTTAAGCTGACAAGTTTCCTTTCACAGAAACATTTCCCAAAGCCACCGACGCCCAGGCTTGGCCCAGTGTGGCTCCTTTGCTCATTCCACTGGCACCATGGGCCCCCGACCTCCTTGTTGTCAAACCCAGGCCATTCCTCTGTCCTGGCCCAATTTCTTCCCCAGAGGCTGCTCCTCTTATGGTGGGAAGGCACAGCACATGTGAACTGTGGGCTGGCCCCCGCTTTGCTGAAGGATTTGCTGCCATGATTCTCCCGCTCTCCTGGGACCTCCTCTGACCCACTTCCTCCTGGCTTGTCTCTCGCCTCCAGGCCGCTCCCATGCCACCTCCTAGCTGGCCCCTGTCCTCCCTGCCATCTACCCTCTCTCTCTGGGTGACCCCATGCCATCCCCAGCCTTGAGCACCACGCACCCATCCACACTTCACACAACACTTGATTCATGTCCCCAGGCTGACCTCTTCCTGAGCTTCAGACAAGGGCGGACCACACAGGTCACCCAAACATAAAGAAAACAACTCCAGGTTTTCACTCCCACTGTTTCTCTTCTAGCCTTCCCCACCCCAGACAATGGCGCCCCAGGTAGTAAACACGGAGCCCATGTCACTTTCTCCCTTCTCTTGTCAGCAGGTACTGTTGGTTTCAACTGAAAAATATAACTGGAATGCAAACAGCCCTCCCCTCCTCACTTTCAGGAATGTGTTCTAGGCCAACAGCCTCTCACTGGAGGTCACCAACGGCCCCCTAATGAGCAGCCAGCTTCCCCATTTGCCCCTTCAAATTCTGTCCACAGAGCAGCCAGGGTGACCTTCTAAAGTGAATTATAACGCTTGGTACAGAAAGTACCCCACTGACTTATTGCTTCTCAAAAGTTTTGTGGTTGCTCTTATTTATTTCTCTTTCAGATGAAATTTAGAAGCAAATCTTTTTGTTTTAATAAATAATTCAGTGGTAAAACAATCCAGTCCAAAGATCCATTCAAATACTACTCACTGCAGGCAGTGTTCTAGATATTGAATTCCTGCAGTCTGAGTTAATAATGCTTTCTTTTGGGGGGTGCTATTTCCCTTTGTGTAAACTCAATAAATGAGAACCTGGCTTTAGTAAACAGAAGCACAGAAGGGGGCCTGGTACGCTTTTCTTTACCAAAGCATTGGTGGCTCTGTAAGTGGTACACCCCTTGCAGCTTTCCCGGTGCATCTGGGATGAGTTTCAATGACAGACATTGCAGCGCCGGTGCTCTCAGGCCGGGCTGGCCGGCGGGCGTCGGGTGTCTTACCTCCCTGAGGCAGGTGTAGATGGGGCAGACGAGCACACGGAAGGGCTCGCCTGTGCTGCTGCGCATGGTGCCGAACACCTCGCACAGGAAGGTGATGAAGCCCAGCCAGCGCTCCACGTCCTGCTGCTGCAGCTCCTCCCGCACCGTGAAGTCCTTCTGCGGAGGCACAAGAGACCGTGTCAGCCTCGCAGGGCATGGGGAGGGGCATAGGCACCACCCACTTTCCTGTAGTGTGAGCTGTCTAAAGGCTGGTCCGGGACAACTGGTAAACCCGTGTTTTCAAGGGGGATGAGGATGAGTGACCTGTGGCTGGAGCAAATGACCGGACTTACTGTGGGCAGCAGGACCACTCTGACCTTTGGTCATGGCACCTGGTCTTCAGTGTCCCCAGACTAGGGGCCAGCCTTGCTGCACTGATCCCAATACTGGAGTCATCACCTCCTCCATTCAACTCCCTGTGCCTAAACTCCCCCTTTGCTAACCCTCAAATCATGTCCTCCATATGGTAGGGGAAAACCAGAACATTGCCAGGTGCATGCTGGCAATTGAGGCCCATCTTGGCGCCATACTGGGCCAGAGACACAGCTACAGCCCCTGCCTGCAAGGGGCCTAGAGGATAGTGGGAAAATTAGAAGCATTCATTCATTCATTCACCTTCCTTAAAAGTATTATTGCCCCACCGTGTGCCACGTTCTGCATTAGCCTAAGATAAGACATGTTCACTCATAGAGGGAAGATATTAAAAGCCACTGGGGATTCCAGGTAGAGGGACTTTGGGAGCTCATTTATACTTGGCATGAGAATTTTCAATTCTAATTCAAGAAGAAAAAATTCTACAAATAGCTTTGAAGGAAAAGAAAAATCCTAGATTTCTTACAAAGGAATAAACATATGGTTGGCCTTATCCTTCTATATTTGATGTTAAAATTCAGAGTCATCAAGGCAATACCTTCATATGTTTGAGGGGAAAAGAACACACTTAGCTGTAAGTGAAAGCAAGAGAAAGACATCTTACATAAGCAAATGTTTTTTAAAATCCCACCTACATGCTTATTCTTAAAAAAACTAAATGCTGCAGATGCCATGTAAAACAGTATGGTGATTCCTTAAAAATTAAAAAATATAATCACTATGTGATACAACAATTCCACTTCTGGATATATATCCAAAAGAACTGAACGTAGGGTCTTGAATATTTGCATGTCCATGTTCATAGCAGCATTATTCATAATAGCCAAGAGGTAGAAGCCACCCAAGTGTCTGCCAATGGATGAATGATAAACAAAGTGTTCTATACATAAAATGGTATATTATGCTGCCTTAAAGAGGAAGGAAATTCTGACACATGCTACGACATGGGTGAACCCTGAGGACATTATGCTCAGGGAATAAGCCATCACAAAAAGACAAATATTGTATATTCCACAGAGTAGGCAAAATCATTGAAACAGAAATTAGAATGGTGGTTGCCAGAGGCTCAGGAGTGGAGGCAATGGGGAGTTGTTTAATGGGTTAGAGTTTCAATTTTGCAACATGAAATACTTTTGGAGATTGGCTGCATAACAATGTGACTATACTGTACACTTATAAATGGTTGAGATTATAACTTTTATGTTTTTTTAAGCACAATTACAACTAATTTAAAAAATTAAAAACGTTCTGAATGTATGCTCCAGCCAATATAAGTTATAACTCAACTTTGAGGAAATTACTGTATAGACGAACCAGAAATGAAAACAGAAAGCAGGTAGACTTATGAAGTTAAGTCAAAATAAGTAATTAGAATTTTGGTTATAAAATTGAATCAAAAGCCAGAAATAATCCTTGAAAGAGAATATATTTAATTTTAAATGTAATCTGAACAAGAATTTCATAATAGTAGTGACTTAATAATCCAATATTAAACTACTAAAGACTGATAAATACTGGCAGGAGAGGGACAGAAGATTATATAAAGCACACAAAATTTTATAATTTAGACCATAGGGACTCATAAGACATTCCTTCTTAAGTTAGATAATCAGGGAAATAGAAGTTAAAGTATGTTTTTAAAAATATTAAACACTAGTAACCATTAGCAGAACTCAAAACAGAATAGATAAAATAAATGGATGTGTAAAAATTATTGTGGGCAAATGAAAATGAAATTAAAGCACTAGTAGAACCAAAATAGTTTTCAAGATACAATCATTAAATAAAATAAAAAGGTTATTTATATAGATAAAAATATAATCCATAATCGATAACATAAAACATCATATACTGAATAGCATAGACTCAAAATACAGTATCAGGAAATAAAACCATTAGCATTCTATGACTGATTAACAAAAATTAATTAGTTAGATAATTTAAATAATGTAGTTAATAAGACTACATTGAAACTAGGCTCATTGTAAGCTGTGATTCCACTATAAATTTGAGAACACAGAAATTCTATAGGTTACATACTTGGACCAAGAATTAAGAACAATAAAATAAACAGCAAATTACTTGGATGTTTAAAAGATATTATCCTAAAGAAAGATGGAATAAAGATGTAATCAAATATGTAATGATAGATTATTTAGAAAATAAAGAGCTATAAAAACTTGTGGGGTGTGGTCAAAGTTATAATAAAAGGTAAATTTACAGTCTTAACTATTTTAGCTATTGAAAAAAGGAAGCAAATATATTATCTAAACCTATGCTGTCCAGTACGGTTGACACTGGCTACATGTGACTATTTGGTGTTTGAAATATGGCTATACTTTTCATATTTTAAAAATATTGATTACATGTTGAAATTTTGGATATACTGGATAAAGTGAAATACATCATTGAACTTAAAATTACATATGTGGATCACATTTTACTTCCATTGGATAGTGTTACTCTACACATTCAACTCAAAAAATTAGAAAACCACCAATAACTAAGGAAACAAATAAAAGAACATAATATGGATAAAGCCAGAAATTAATTACAAAAGAGAGGAAGAAAATTATACATAAAATCAAGAAAGAATAGAGATAAAATTAGAAATATGAACAAAATATGGAAACAGATACGAAGTAGATAAAAGAGCTTAATAAAAACTTTATAACTATGCCGATGATTTTGAAAAAAATGATAAAATAAGTGATTTTTTAGAAAATAAATACCACCAAACTTTACCCCCAAAATAATTAAAAAGCAAAAAAAGACTAAAAATCATAAAATGAAAAGTTCTGAAAGAAGTAAGGTCTCTAAACTTATGATTTTTTAAGGTAAGTTGATTTGAACTTTTAAAAACTTAGATAATTACTCTGCTATATAAAATGATCCAGAACATAGAAAAAGATAAGCTTTTTCAGTTCCCTATTATCAAAATCTCATAATGATGGTAAATTACATTTAAGGAAGACTATGGCTAATTTATCTAATGTGAATAGATGTGAAAGTCCTAAATGAAATACTAACAAATAGCTCCTTTGTAACCAAGTAGTTTATCCCAGAAAGGCAAAGATGATTTAGTATCAGGAAATCTATAAACATAATATAGTATATCAATAGGCCTGACTTAAAAACAGCAGAAATATTTGTGACCCTTGGAAGGAAAGAGATAAAATGATTTAACATGATTATATATATGTAAAAGCCAAGAGAATTCTCTAATAAAGATTAGAATTAATAAGAGAGTTTAGGAACTAGCTAATTAATAATAGTATTTAAATGCAAAATTAATACAAAAATCAACAGCTTTTCTATGATAGGCTTAACTAGTGAGGTATTTTAATTCTTAAAAGCTCATTTAATAAAATAATAGAAATTTTTAAGTGACATTGAGAAATACACAAGATTTCTATGAAGAAAATTACAAAACTGAACTGGAAGATCTAAGGTAAGGTCTTAAACAAGAAATACATAGTCTTCCTTAATGGGTAGACAACATTATAAAGATGGTAATTCTCCTTGAAATGATTCACAAGTTCAACACCAATTTGTACTCCATATTCCAATGGGGACTTTGGAGGGAAAAGGGGAACGGAGACTAGAAAAAAAATGATCCTAAAAGTAATTTGAAAGAACAGGGGAAATAGCTAAAAACAAAACAAAACAAAATCTGAAGAGTTTATATTACTTTTCACCTATCTGAAAGCTTTAATAATTAAAAGGGTGTGGAACTGACATAAAAATGGACAGCTAGATCAGATAGCCTAGAAACAAATTTGGCGTCCATAAGGTCTCACGCAGTCCCTAAAGAACCACAAATCAGTGGCAAAGGAAGGAAGCATTATTCACTGAAGCAGGGGTACAGGGACAGCTGTCTAAGTATGAGGGGGAGGGGGAGGATAATTTAGAGTCTCCCTTCACACTGAGTCCTAAGATGAATTCTAGATGGAATAAAGGGTAAATGTTAAAAACAAAAAGACAAACCATAAGAATTTGAAGAAAATTAAATTGAGCATTTATTAAATTTCTGGATGTAGAAGGGCTTTCTATATCAACACAACAGAGGAATGCATTGAAATATTATAAATACTCTTAGAAGGCAATTGATATACTGGGGAAAATATCTGCAATAAATGTGACAAAGGGTAGTGGTCTTAATACAGAAATAGTTGGTTCAAATTTGTAATAATAGTACTAAATCCCTCATACACAAATGCAGAAAGGGCATTATAAGATAATACATATGTCAAAATATAAGTTGCTGATAAATATATGAAAACAAATTAATTAAAGCTCAGTAGCAATCAAATGAATGAAAATACCACCCCTCCCACTATATTAGCAAAGCTGAAAACTGATAATTGTCAATGCTGGTGAAGATGCAGTGAGACAGGCACTCTTATATATGGGGAGTATAAACTGATATTACTTTCCTGAAAAATTTTAAAATAAGCTTTAAAAGACTTCTTATTGTTTGACCCAACAATTGTACTTCCAGATAATTACCAACAGGAAATAATTAAAAATAATAGGAAAAATAAACTTAATGCACACAAAAATTCAACAATTAAAGCGTCCAACAATAGAGGAATGATTAAGTAAATGATGATTCATGCACCCATTAAAAATTACGTTTATGAAAAGTTTATAATAGCATGGGAAAATGGCTATATAGTGCTAAGTAAAAAAAAATCGAAAGCAAAATTGCATGTACTATATAATCTTATATGTGAATAAATTTT